TGGGCTGGCATGAAGCCTTTGAAGTGCAAACACTTATCTTTTCTTCTATTCCCAATTTGTGAATAAGAATTCTCCCATGCTCAGAATCAGTCTCCTGTGCCCAGCTCTGGCTGAGGGGACCAGGCCCGGCATCGTTCACTGCCAGTAGCTGTCCTTGCTGCATCTCGGCATCCCTGATAAGCCCCCTGGTCCTGCACAGGCAGAAGCCCATGTTTCTGCTAAAATGCCACAAGCAGAGGATGTGATATTTAAATGAGGAATCTAGGTTGGCTTTGATTTTCATGTCCACTAACATCACCAGATGTTCACTGGAGACGAGAGACTGACACCTTCCCTCTCCCCAGCCAAGGACCCTGCAGGACTCTCCACACTACCTTCCCTCTGGCATATGTCAACAGCTCTGGATCATACTTGGTGGCCAAACCTCAGATATCTCAGGGCCTAAACCCTGGGTGGGAGGTAGAACTCAGCACTGAAGCAAGATTTTGGCGAGGTCACTTTCAAAACCCTGCTTCTACGCCTTGGCCACAGCTGAGCCCAGTCTTGCCCTCCATTGTTCCCCAGACTCCAGAGGCAACATCATGGCAGCCCCCAAGCTTCAAGACAAGGAGAGAACCTCCTAAGGCTGCTCGGCAATTGCATTTTGGATGAGCCTTCACGGTTCCTTGCTGTCCCCAGGCAAGTCAGCACCTTGGCCAGCAGCACTAAGTCCTGGATGCTCCCAAGAGGCCATACAACGGACTTGGGAGACCTGATCCCACCTAATGCTTCTGATATGCCTACCTTCCTTTAGGAGAGAGCCCAAGTTGGGCAGGGCCCAACAAGAGATGGATGTTACACTATAGAAATGTTGCTCACTTTTCTGGCCTCACCTGCAAATGCAATTTCCTTGAGTAGCTAACACTTCCCCATCTTGACTGTCCTACTCACTATTCATTCTTTTTTTTTTGGTCCAGTCCTGGGGCCTGAACTCTGGGCCTGGGCGCTGTCCCTCAGCTCTTCAGCTCAAGGCTAGCACTCTACTACCTGAGCCACAGCCCCACTTCCGGCTTTTTTCTTTTTGCTTATGTGGTACTGAGGAATCGAACCCAGGGCCTCATGCATGCAAAGCAAGTGCTCTTCCACTGAGCCACCTTCCCAGCCCTCACTATTCATTCTTTAAAAAAAAATTTGGGGGGGCTGGGAAGGTGGCTCAGTGGTAGAGTGCTTGCCTTGCATGGCTGAGGCCCTGGGTTCGATTCCTCAGCACCACATAGCAAAAAGAAAAAAGCTAGAAGTGGCTCTGTGGCTCAAGTGGTAGAGTGCTAGCCTTGAGCTGAAGAGCTGAGGGACAGCGCCCAAGCCCAGAGTTCAGGCCCCATGGACGGACCCCCCCCAAAAAAAATTTTTTTTGCCAGTCCTGGTGCTTGAACTCAGAGCCTGGGCATTGTCCCTGAGCTTCTTTTGATCAAGGATAGCACTCTACCACTTGAGCCTCAGTGCTACTTCTGGCTTTTTCTGTTTATGTATTGCTGAGGAATCGAACCCAGGGCCTCAGGCATGCTAGGCAAGCACTCTGCCACTGAGCCACCTTCCCAGCCCTCCCTATTCATTCTTCAGATCTTATCCTGGATGTCCTCTACTCTGGAAAGCTTTCTTGGGTCTGCCAGCTAAGCTAGGGTCCTATTCCTCACAATGCACAGAACATGGCACAGAAGCACCACATCTAAGGGAATTACTCACACCTTAGCTTTTTATGCTTATCAAGATGGTTCTGGAAAAATAGGAGGAATCATTTATTTTCTAATTTGTACCCAGGTGCTCCATGCCTCATGAGTGCCTCATCCTACTATTGTGGGTCTGTACAGCACTTAGAACTTGTCTAACCACTGAACTAGCCTTTTTGTTTCTGATGTCCACCAACTGTCTATGCCCCATTCCTAGAGTAGACTGTAACCCTGAAGAGGGGGGCACTCTGGCATTGCTTCCTCCTGTGTCTGCTCAGGCACTGATCACCATGAGTACTTCAAATGCATCTTGGTCAATGTAAATATTTGTTGGCTAAACAGAATGTGAGATTTAAAAAAGTACAAAGAATTAGCCTGACAAGAAGAAGGAAGAAAAACAAGGAAAGAAAAAAAAACTTACTGAAAAATGTCTTTGGCCTACAGGGGAGATACTGAGTAGAGTGATGTGTTGGTCCATTTTCCTTTTTTCAGGACAACTTTAACAACAGTGATAGAGCCAGATGCTGGTGCTCACACCTATAATCCTAGCTACCCAGGAGGCTGAGATCTGAGGACTGTGGTTCAAAGCCAGCCTGGCTGGGAAGTATGCAAGACTTATCTCCAATTAATTACCAAAAAGTTGGCAATGGTGCTGTGGCTCCAAGTGGTAGAGTACTAGCCTTGAGCAAAAAAGCTCAGGGACAGTGCCTAAGTCATGAATTCAAGCCCAAGGACCAGCATAAACAACACAAAATCATAATAATAGTACTACCCAAGGGAGAATGATGGAAGAAAGGGGAGATTGATTGTAATACATTGTTTACATGCACGGAAATGTCACAGTGAAATTTTCCTTGTTTAACTAATGTAAATAAAAAATACTATAGTTCAGCCATTCCTTACTGTCCACAAACAATTGGTTTCAGGACCCATGGCATCAAGATCTGTGGATGTCTCTTATATGAAATGGTATATCTCTGCAATCCTCTTGTATTCTTTAAATAATCTCAAATTGATTATTATATGTATATGCCATGCAAGCAGGTATTATTCAGTATTGTTGTGGAACAATGACAAGCAAGCAGTCTGCATAGTATAGATGCAGCCTTTTCAGGCTCAAGCACAAAGGACTCATGGGAGGTAAGAGGTGAACAACTCAAATGTGAGTGCCAGAGAAAGAGAGAAGATTTGCACAATGGCAGGAGGTTGTAAGAGCTGCGACCACACATCACTTCCTCTGTGGATTCAGTGTAGTGTTCAATGTGAGGTAAATTCAAGCTTTAGTTTTTGGAATTTTCTGGATTTTTTCAAACACTTTTGATCCACTGTTGATTGCATGAGCAGATACAGAACTGCAGATACAGAGGACCAGCTGTAATAGCTGCTGTACACAGGGATTCTATTTAAGTTCTGCAGCAGCCTGTGAGGTCTGTAATGTTGCCTCCCTGGGCCAGACTTCACAGGTGAGAAACTAGAGGGCAGAATGAAGTTTGGAGTCTGGTACATGTCAGATGCTCAAGCCTGCATGCTGAATACTAACTACCCTTTACTTCTTTATCAAAACCTTATTACCCTGCAAAGCCATGTGTACTTTATTTTCTGTGGCTACAGCTCCATTGCTGAGTCGGATGATAGGAACAGCCCTGTTCCTCCCACCTTTGGGCTCGGATCCAGGCACCCCTCCCCAAACTGTCTCGGTGAGCTGGCTACTGACAGGCAAGAGGAATCCATGCCAGGTCCAGGAATAGAGCCTAAAGGGAAAGACAGGCTGTGTGGTCAGAAGCAATACTCAGGCATAGGCTCCTGCTCATCCCTCCTAGACGTCAGATTAAGACCTCTGAGAACAGTATGAATGAAACTTTTTTAAAATCTGCAATAGGTGTCTTATTTATTAAATAGATTTGAGAGAATGCTAAGGGATAAGTTAGCCTGAGTTGCTTCAAATTTGAAGCTACAATCACACTTGGACCAATGTCCAAGTGACTCTGGAATCAGAGTCTGGTATTCAGATAAATGATTCTATCGCAATAAAATCAACTTTCACAGTCACATAGGTAGCATTGTTTTTCTAAGTGAGATGCTAATATTTATGGTGAGGAATCCAAACACAAAAACTCCATACACACAGAAATATAATTTCAGTAATTATAAGAATTATATTCCCAACAACTGGGGAGGGAAGGGATAGCAGGGGAAAAACAAAGGAGGGGGTAACAATGCTTGATAAGAAATGTACAAATTACCTTACTCATGTAACTGGAACCCTATACAGTATCTTTACAATAAAAAATAAATAAAAGAATGATATTCCCAACAACAATATTTCCTGAATAATGTATGTCCTCTACTTTGTACTGAATATATTCTTTTGCTTTATCAGCACAAAGTCAGATGAGATAGTTTGAACCAGGTGATGAAAATAAATAATGAAACACTTGATGAAGTGAACAACTGGGTTCCTGAATGGACCTTTTATGTTTTGCTCACCCATAAATCCTCAGTGATTGACATATATGAGGCACTTGGTAAGGATTTGCTGAATGAATGAATGTTGGTTTTTTCCCATACCCTCCAAAAGCAGGCAGGAGCTTGGGGATCTCACATCTCAAAATCGAGGATATTCTAAAATGCTCAACCCCAAGTCAGAGATCAAGGAGCAGGAAAGAGATGAGAACACCTGATTGACCACCATCCCACCCAAAGGAGAGAAGGAAGAAACACTGGGTCACCAAATCAAGACTGCTGGACCACTGAACTAGGCACTGATGGCTTACACCACCAGTGATCTGAGGATCACTGAGAGCTGAGGATCTGAGGACCTGAGATCTGAGGATTGTGATTCAGAACCAGCCTGGGTAGTAAAGTCCATGATGCTCTTATCTCCAATTAACCATACACAAAAACAAAGAACCAAACCAGAAGTAGAGCTGTGGCTCAAAGTGATAGAGTGCTAGACTTGAGCAAAAAAAATCTCAGAGACAGTACCCAGACTCTAAGTTTAAGCCACACAACCAAAACCAAAATTAAAACCAAAACCAAAATAAAACAAAACAGAAAGCCACTGGATGCCTGAGTCCTGGGCAGGAGTGTATTTGAGAGGGTGGAAGAGGTTCATCAGCAAGCACAAGATGCAGCAGCCCCTCATAGACAGTCAAGCAGTGAAGAGGCTCAGGCTGCTGGACACAGGAGCTTGATAGAGGCTCCCTCAAGGCAGATCTGGAACACCTAGGTGGTTCACCAGTCTGTTTCACCTACCTGGTCTTAGAAACCTTCCACCTTAATGAGAGCACTCACCTGGTCTAGGAGGACACAGGGCACATGAAGTCACCCCCCAGAAGGCTCCCACACTGCCACAACAGTCTTCCTGTGTAGTTAGCTCCAGCAGAGGGTCAGCACACTGGAAAAGAGGCCATGGACACCTGTGACACCTCACCCCCATCATTTTTTCCTCTTGTTGTACACAAGATATCCCAGAAAAGTCCAGGACATAGAACTTACCCCCCCACACACCATCACATACACGTATTCTGCCAGAGAATGCCACTCCCCAGGCTAGGGAGAAGTGTTTGGCCAATGTAATGGAAGGAAGCAGAGAAGGCTGCATCCATTGTATCATACCCTAACTTTGTGTTGGAGGGTCCACCCGAGACACATGATCTACTCTGTGTAATCTACCACCTTCTGAGTCCATTAACACTTCTTAGACAGGCTCCCAAAGGATGAGATTTCCTCCATCAACCTCCAGAGAACTGGGGGTCACCCCAGTGAGAGCTCTCCCAATGAGTAGGATCCCAGGCCAAAGCTGGGGGTGATCTGAGACTCGGATCTTTAGCTTTTGCCTGTATTTCTTCCAGTCCTCTAACCTCAAAAATACCAACTGCAACAAGTAAAGCCATCATGAGTCTGTTCTAGCTCCTGTCCTTGGGAACTTAGCCTGGCCTCCCAGCAGGAGCTGAGGATGCCTCCGGGGAAAACAGAGCACCTCTGATCTTTGGATCACCTGGGCTATGTTTTTTTGTTTTGTTTTGGTCGGTCATGGAGCTTGAACTTTGGGCTGGGCACTGCCCCTCAGCTCTTCAGCTCAAGGCGAGAGCTCTACCACTTGAGCCACAGCACCACTTCTGGTTTTCTAGTGATTTATTGGAGACCAGAGTCTCATGGACTTTCCTGCCTGGGCTGGCTTTGAACCGTGATCCTCAGATCTCAGTCTCCTGAGTAGCTAGGATTACAGGCATGAGCCAATGGTGCCCGGCTCATTCCACATCTTTGTGGCACAAGTTGAGAGACTAGAAATTAAACTCCCAGGTTGTAGGCTCAGTTCTTAGGTAGTCAGGATTTTCTGAGACCAAACTCAGGCTGGTGACAGTTCCTTTGGCAGGGGACTTCCTCTATCCTCTCCTGTATGCCCGGTACTGACAGGGACTATGTGCAGCCCAGTTAGGAGGCCCTGCCTCTTCACACTCGGCCCTTTTTCTGCCCTGGTTTTCTTATCTGGGAGATGAGAGAATGGGAGGTCATATTCCATAAGAACAACAAAGGACAGAGAAGAGCAGAGTGCATGGTGGTCACTGTTCTGGAAGCCCCTAGGACAGAGGCTGGGGGAGGGAGATGCATTCTCACCTGTCCATTCACAGTATTCAGGTAACATCGGCCCAGGAGTCCCTGATGCCCGGGCACCACTGGGGGAGGTGGCCGAGGAGGCTCTCCCGCCCGAGCAGGAATGCTGTTACTGTCCCAGTGGCTGTAGCTGGTGCTGGCAGGAAGTCGGTATGGGGGTCTAGTTTCCACACTGTTCTCCTCTGGGGCCCTGTCGGCCTCTCCTCGCACCCGTGCCACCTGATGGATCTGCACAGATGCCTCAGGTGGGTGGTTAATGTGCACCTTCACCAAGGAGGGGTTCACAGAGGCTGTACACAAGGGCTGGGGTCAGAGCTGGGAAACATACGCCACCCTCACTCTCCCCCACCTCCAAGAGTGCTGACAGCGCTAGGCCAGGTAGTCATGGGCAGTGTGTGTCCTCCAAACTTCCCTGGCACTCTTGTGTTCTGTAGTTGAAACCCCAGAGAAATCCCCCATGGGGGACAAGATGAGTCATAAACTCCTTCACAGGAGGCCCCTTAGTGTAAAGTCCAATGGCATTGTGATTTGTTACTCAGAGCCTTGAGCAATAGCCCTGACCCCTGCCTGGTCCTCCTCAATGCCTTTGCCTACGCCAGTCCTCCCCTCTGCCGAGCCAAACACCGCCCATGGTCGAGGGCTCACTGCACCAGTCATGTAGCCTTCCCAGAGTACTCCAGGCTCAGGGGTCCCTCCATCTCCCAACTCCTACAGAATTGTGTTCTTTCGGTTGCTTGCTTGCTTTTTTTCAACTTTAATTTGGGACTTACTAACAGAAGCCAGGGAAAATGAAATGTTGTATGTTGAAATCCAACTTCCCATCCATCCTTCCTCTTTCTACTGCCCAGGACTGTGGATTCCCTGAGGGCAGGATGCTGCCTGTTTCCTGCTTGACTTCCCCATCACAGGATAAGGACAAAAACTTGGGATGAAATTCAGATGGAAGGGGGAAAAGAAATTTAGGAAATGAAATGGGAGCCTTGTGGGTAGAGGAGAAAGAGGGAGTCTGACAGTGAAGGACGAGCTGGAGACACTTCCCTGCTCCTGTCCAGCACAGCAGGGCTGACCAGCTATCCTACCTGGTACTCCCCGCAGGCTCCTGGCTGAACACTCACCCAGCTGATTGGAGAGAGGCAGCGTGAAGGTGGACCGATGCAGGGGGCTTTCCAGTAGGGCCCTGTGGTGGGATCTGCTCCCTGGAGACTCCCTGTCCTGCTGTGAGGCAGGCAGGTGGCAGAACTTCCCAGTAGAGTTGGCAGGGCACCAGCACTCATCCCGGCCGATGCAGCGGCCTCCATTCAGGCAAGGGATCTGACAGAAATCTATAACATCAACCCCCAAGTGCCATCAATCTTGTGGCCAGCTAGTTACAACAGAGAAGGGGGGAGGACAGGACACCAAATCTAGATGGCTTAGGGACTCCAGCACCCCCTGAAATGCAGGGACTTTCCATGAGGCCACACAGTGAGAAAGGGCAGATAACAACCAGCTCCAGCCTTTCTAGAAAAAGCCCTTTCATGTTTCTTCCTTACAGTAACCCAGGACACCAGGCACTGGCATTATTAACTCCCTATCTTCTCTGTCGAAAGGGGTGTAATATGCCTAGAGCCACACAGCCATGTTGTGACAAGGCTGAAGAATCAGCTCTCCAGGTAATTGGGAACACCTGATGGAATCCTCTCCCCTCCCACCCCTAATCCAAACAAGAACAGTGACTTTATTCCTAGAAAGGATCTGGGCTCCAGTCCAAGGCAAGCCTGTCCCTGTGGCCACCCCAACTTCTCAGGACCAGATGGAAACCACCATAGCGGAAAAGACACTCACAGATACGGAAGCCAGACTTGGGGTCATGGCCCTGGCCACCCTGGCTGTACAGGGTGGTGGTGTCGCCCCGCTCACAGCTGTTGGCACAGTGCCCATGGGCACAGGTCTGCTTACAGATGGTAGGAGTGAAGACAATCTTGATCTTCTTTATTTTCTCTGTGAGGTTCAGTCCTGTAGAGAGAGGACTTGTGTCCAAGAGGTAGGGATGAAAGGCGCTGCCATGGGACCGGGGGAAATCCATCCATGCCCAGGGCATTCTCTGAGTACCTTCTGGATGCCATGTCTGTGATGGGACACAATCACACCTTCGAGAAGCCCACAAATAATTAGCTTCTAAGTTCACATTTGGTACATGTTAATTCTTAACCTTCTTGATGACTATTACTTAGTTGGAGCCATTCAAAAGGAACACTTTCATGATTAACATAGCTGAATATTCAGTAACTTTTACATGTTCCAACCTAATATTTCCACTTTACAATTAGATTGAAGGTCAGAGATATTTGGGGTGCCTTATGTCATAGCCAGCAAAGGGCCATGCCTGGGCTTGAACCTAAGATCAGGGAATAAGATAAAGCTCAGGTTGGCTAAAAAGGATGATAATGGTGCTCACTTCAGCAACACATATACTGAAATTGGAACAATACAGAGAAGATTATCATGGCCCATGCACAAGGATGACACACAAATTCATGAAGTAGTCCATATTTTGAAAAAGAGACAGAGAATGATCATGATAATGTCCAGTTAAAGACAGGTTTGGGGCCTGGTTTGCCCCTGCTTTGCTTTGGATCAGACACTTTATCTGGTAGGGAAACCATTGAAAAACTTCCCAGCAAGATATCACAGATGTATCAGTGTAGAAGGACTACTGATAGGCAGAGTAGACTGGGGGCAGGTGAGGTCGTTTCATTTAGTAAGGATAATGGCAATACAAAAAAGAGATTTACAAATTCAATATGGGGATCCCAGGGAGGAGAACAGAGCCAAAAGGTTGAGGAGGGAATGGAAGGCCGGAAGTAGAAAAAGTATGTAGACCATGGGTCCAAGAAGCTTGTCCGTGCAGGGAGGACGTGGCAGGAGCTAGTTCCCAGTATCTGTAAGCAGATTAAGGAGGGCAGGCTTAGAGGAGCTGCTCTGAGAAGCAGTAGAGAGAGGATGTTCTAACAGAAAGAAGGGATGAAGGTAACAACACCGTGTGTCATGATGAGAATACAGAAATGGTGATCTTTTCCTAGTAGTAGAAGTCAGTGTTACAGAAACAGTTGGCAGTGTTGAACCAAGAAGGTTAGAATTTAAAGGAAGAATGAGGAAGAGGCACCTGGCTGGGGGTTGAAAATCATACTTGTTTATAAAGTGAGCCAAGGCATAATAGGATAACAGGCAGAGACAGAGCAGCTAAGGTCCTAGAGTACTACGTGATCAAATTCAGATCACTTATTTTGGCACCCCTGAAGTTTGACACAAAGCAACTGCTCAAATAATATTGTCACAGCTCCACTTCCAGCTTCTTGGTAGTTAACTGGAGGTAAGAGTCTCCCAGACTTTCCTGCTCAGCCTGGTTTCAAACCATGATTCTCAGATCTCAGCTTCCTGAGTGCTTAGGATTATAGGTGTTAGTCACCAGCACCTGGTTACTACTATTTTTGCTTGTTTATTTTCTTTCTTCTGTGCTGGGAATTGAATCCAGGGCCTTGCACAATTTAGGCAAGTGCTTTCATATGTATCTACAGACCTACCCTTTCAGAAGCTGTCTGTTGATTGGCCGAAAGAATGAGGGACAAAATGGCAACTCAATTCCTCACAAAGAGTGGAGAGAAAGCAGAGGTGGAATGGAGAGTGGTCTAGTGGTTTAGATATTCTTCTCCTTTAGGCCCTGAGGCAGAGCACCTTACCCCAGGGGGATGAGCGATTGTCCAGATGTACTGCCTGCTGAGTGCCATCTCTCTGTTCAAGACCCAGTCCTGTGGGCAGAGCATTGGAAGTCAGATGGCCATTGGCAGCAATGGCTGGGTAACGTCGGATGGTCCGAGATAGCCCCATGTGCTGCTGGGGAGGGCGTGTCTGGCTGAGCCCACTCAGGGTCCTGTGGAGACAAGCATGGCACCAGAGTTTACATCCCAGGAGCAGTGTGTCTCTGTGGCTTCCTTCATCTGGCTGCCCATCTCTCCACCCATGTGTGGTTGACTCCTGGATGTGGAGGTGCCCAAGACAGGAGGATGAAGGCTGACCAGCCATCTGTAGAGGGAAGGCTTTCTTCTATGTGCAATACCCAAGCTTTTGCTGTACTATTCTGGGCAAGTTTCTCAGCCTTCTGAGCCTCAGGACCTTTGACCTTTTGACTTTTTTTTTAGGACCTTTGACCTTCTAAATGATAGACTGTTCTGAGTAGCTTTGACATTCTGAGTCAAACCACTGACAGACTAGCTCCTATCCTGAAACCAAAGCCCAGGCCTGCCCTGTCAATTCTTGTTTTGTTTTGTTTTTTCCTCTGAAACTGAGACTTAAACTTAGTATCTGACCTTTTTGCTTTTTTGTGTCCAGTCGTGGGGCCTGAACTCTGGGCCTGGGCACTGTCCCTCAGCTCTTCAGCTCAAAGCTAGTGCTCTACCACTTGAGCCACAGCGCCACTTCCAGCTTTTTTCTTTTTGCTTATGTGGTGCTGAGGAATCGAACCCAGGGACTCAGGCATGCAAGGCAAGCGCTCTACCACTGAGCCACCTTCCCAGCCCATGAACTTTTTGCTTATTGGCTGGTGCTCTACCACCTGAGCCATGCCTCTACCCCATGTCATTTTTTTGTCGGTCATGGGGCTTGAACTCTGGGCTTGGGCGCTGTCCCTGTGCCCTTCAACACAAGGTGAGCACTCTACCGCTTGAGCCACAGAGCCACTTCCAGTTTTCTAGTGGTTTATTGGAGATAAGAGTCTCACAGACTTTCCTGCCTAGCCTAGCTTTGAACCGTGATCCTGAGATCTCAGCCTCCTGAGTAGCTAGGATTACAGGCGTGAGCCACAGGTGACCGGCTCCCATGTCATTTAGAGGGTTGTTTTTTTTGGGGGGGGTCCAGTTGTGGGGCCTGAACTCTGGGCCTAGGTGCTGTCCCTCAGCTCAAGGCTAGCGCTCTACCACTTGAGCCACGGCGCCACTTCCGGCTTTTTTTTCTTTTTGCTTATGTGGTGCTGAGGAATCAAACCCAGGGCCTCAGGCATGCAAGGCAAGCACTCTACCACTGAGCCACCTTCCCAGCCTCCCATGTCATTTAATGTAATCCTTTATGCATTTGTTGTGGAATAGATGCTCTCAACAAATAACTATTCACAGATCATTCAGAATCTCCCTCATTTAATTTTATTGTAAATACTATAATCATGAATTCACTATTCATGAGCCCAACACAGCAATACTTTTGTCTATTTTCTTTCTACCTTTGTTCACACACACGATTTTATGCTATTATCATCACGTATACATACAATTTAAATGGACTTTTTTCCCACTTAACATTAGATCATGCTTTATACAATTCCCATGAGGGTCAATCTACAGATTACTCACAACTTAGATGCTGCATATTTAGATTGCTTTAAAAATTTTAACTGTGGACATGTGTGTGTGTGTGTGTGTGTGTGTGTGTGTGTGTGTGTGTTTGTGTGAGTGCTGGGACCTGAACTTAGGGCCTTACACACTTGCTTGAGTTTTTCACTTAAGGCTGGCACTCTACCACTTGAGCAACACCTCCACTTCCAGCCTTTTGCTGTTTAATTGGAAATGAGTTGCTCATATTTGCTTGACTCATTTGGCTTCAAACTGAGATCCTTAGATCTCAGCTTCCTGCATAGCTAGGATAATAGGTGTGAGGCATCCAAACCAGTTTATGTTTTAAGAAAAACTTCTCCCTGCAGTCATGGACATTGATTCAGACATAAGGAAACCACTCAGACATAAATAGTAACTACTCCTTGGAAATAACAGTGCTTGAGTACATTTATGTATAAACATGTTTAACCACAGTTTGAAATTTTATGGATATCTAGATTTAGAGATTTTTTTAAAACAAATGATATGTACTGTGTAAAGTAAAAATAAATCATGAAATCAAAATAAATCTCTATTCTTCCCAGAAATTCCATTTCATAGATAAGGGAACTGAGGCTCAGCCAAAGCATGGCAAAAGCTCAAGGTGATTGTGAAGAAAGATACAGAAATTCTAGAAGCCTCAGGGAAAGCTAGACTTCAGCTGGTGCTTAAGGGATGGGTGAGTAAGATTTCAAAAGCCCATAGTGTAGCCTTCCAGATAAGAAAGTACTGAATGGAGAAGAGGAAAGGGAAGGAAACATTAGCTATTAAGTTTGTACCAGCTTGCAGGCATCATGCTAAGTGCTTTACGTATCTTTTACTTGATCCAACAACTCCGTGATCAAAAACCTCTGTTTGGCCCAAACCAGCTTAAACAAAGTAAAGAGACAAATGATCCAACAGGAAAAATATGTGCAATCATGTCACAGACAAAAGATGAATCTGCATAATATCTTAAGAAATAGAAAAGACAGAGGCTACCAGCTCTAAAAGAAAAAACCCCAGCCAGGCTCCAGCGGCTCACGTTTCTAATCCTAGCTACTCAGAGGATGAGATCTGAGGATTGTGGTTCTAAACCAGCCTGGGTAGAGACTCTTATGTCTAAATAACCAGCTAACGGCTGGAAGTGGAGCTGTGTCTCAACTGGTAGCATACTAGCCTTGAACAAAAAAATCCAAGCTGGAGCTCAAGGCCCTGAATGCAAGCCCCAGTACCAGCACAAAAACAAAAGCAAAAACAAAACCTTCAAGGGATATGAATAAATGGCTTACAGAAAACAAACATTTTTTTTCAACTTAGGGAAATATGTTCAATCTTCTTCCTTATAAGAGATGTGTAAATGAGAACTATGAGACAGCATGTTTTACTCCATCTGACTAGCACAATTCTTGGTGAGACTGTGCCCTCTCAGATGTTGCTGGCAGGAGTGTAAGTTGACACAACTCTTTCAGAGAGCAAGTGAACAATGTCCTCTTGTGGCATAGTGCATGTGATTCCACCTTTAAAACTACAGATAACCCTACTGTAGTGGGCACTGGACCCTGCCCACATCCATTTTAATGCTGGTACATTCCGAACAGCTGCAAGGACAGTAGCCAAAGCTTATACTTACGATTTCTCAGTCCTGCTATTGGCCAATGAGAACCATGTGACAAGATCCTCCTATCACCATGGCCATACCACCAATGACTATCTCAAAAGGGAAGATCAAAGGCCCTAGACACGTTGTGTCAAGGTGAAACAACTTCAGAAGCTCTGAATTCAATCAGCTCAAAGCTTGATTTCCTGGGAAGTCCATCCTTGCTTGTCTTTCTCCACTATTCCATTCTTCTGTCCTTTCTCTCTTCGTGCTCCCCCAATAAGCCACATATACCCAAATCCCACCTCTAGGGACTTCAGCTAAGACACCTACAAATGGTCACACTGATGCCGAAAAAAGATTATTCATTCATTGCAACATTGTTTTGAAATAGAGTATTTTTTACAGAATAGAAACAATCCAGTGTCCTTGAGTAGAAGATTGCTTAAACAAGGATCTGAGCACAGAATGGATTAAAGGTGGCTGGAAACAGAAGTGGCTCCTCACTTCTGTAAGGAATGATATTTAAGACACATTGAAATGTGAAAACACAACAGTCTAAATCTCACCTACAGACTGTTTTTATCTAGGCTGTGACTTAGCAATGTTCTCTTTCAAACTTTTTTTTTTGGGTCGGTTATGGGGCTTGAACTGGGCCTCGGCACTGTCCCTCAGCTCTTCAGCTCAAGACTAGTGCTCTACTCCTTGAGCCACAGCGCCCTTCTTGTTTTCTGGCAGTTTACTGGAGATAAGAGTTCCACAGACTTTCCTGCCTGGGCTGGCTTTGAACAGCAATCCTCAGATCTCAGCCTCCTGAGTAGCTAGGATTACAGGCGTAAGCCACCGGCGCCTGGCTTCCAACCATTTTTTAATGATTGGAAAATAAAAAGTAAAAAGAAAAATCATATTTCTTGACATGAGAAAACTATATAAAATTCAAATGAAAGTTTCTATAAATAAAGTTTCATTGGAACACAACCAGGCTCATTGTCTGTGACTGTTTTTACTCTCAACCATGCAGTTGAGAAGTTGCAGAAGCATTTGTTATAGGAAGCCAAAAATATTTACTATCTGACCTCTTATAGAAAGAAGAAGCTTGCTGATTCCCAGTGTGGAGCATGTGAACTTTTTTGTCAGCATACAGAAAATAAAGATTCATGTTGTGTTTATTTGACATAGAGAAAACAAGAATCCATATTGTGGTTATTTGCATATTCATGAAGCAACCTTGGAAGGATACCCTGGAAAATTAATAACAGTGGTTACTTATGTGGGAAAGGCAAAGAATAGGAAGTAGAAGGGAAGATCAGCCAGTGCAGCGATTTAATGAACAGTTACTCTGTGCTGGATTTTGTGCCAATAACACACAAGTCACATGCATCCCCTCACATAGGCCTCTCTGTAAGGTAAGAATAAGGTACTCACTATCCCCATTTCACAGTTGGAAAAACAGTTGGTGTGGAGGTTCTAGACCTTGTTGTAGTACAAAACTCCTAAGTGCAGAAGTCCGGTTACTACACCAGGTTAACGTCATCCTAAATCCACCCACTTGTGTTATTAGTTTAGTTTATTACCGTTTTACAGTCGAGGACACTGAGGCTAAAGGATATAACAGAACATCCGATGTGGATCTTTTCCGGGGGAGGGGTGCTGGTGCTTGGGCTTGAACTCAGGGCCTCATGTTTATGCCTGGCTTTTTTACTCAGGGCTGGAACTCAACCATTTGAGCCATGCTACCCTATCTGGCTTTTTGTTGGTTAATTGGAGATAAGAGTCTCACTGACTTTCTCTCTAGGCTGGTTTTGAACCTTGCTCCTCAGATCTCAACCTCCTTAGGAGCCAGGATTATGAGCCACCAGCACACAGCAGGTTTGGGCTTTTATGGTGGAGGGCCTGAAACACTGGGAGAAATATCTCTGCTGTATGGAC